ATAAATTTTTAAAGATTAAATCAAATAGTTAGTTAAAGTATGTAAGTGTGAGTCTTAACTTGTACGCATAAACCTACGGAATAAAAGGTTATGATCAACAATAAGTACAAAAATTAAAAATAAGTTAAAGAAAACTTTTTATTTTTGTCGAATATCAATAAAAAAACCACTTAACCTCACCAAATTAAGAAAATCGATACAATTAGCTATTGACACGCATGGCATGAACAAATAAATATAATGTTGGTATTGGTGTCGTTAGCGCAAAATATCTAAAATTTTAAGTCCAATAGTGTTTTTAACACGGTATCTCGGTAACTAAGAAATTTTTATTAGATTTTTTTTTACTATTAGTTATTAGTTATTATTTAGCATACCCTAAAATTATGCGTATAAGTTAAGACTCATCCTGTATATAACCAAATTCGACTACTTATTCTAGTACACTGGAATTACCTATGGGTGTTGTTGCTGTTTTAATTCACATGTTTTTCACGAAACGTGGCAAACTCGTTTTATCTAATTTTATGAAATAGTAAAAAATAGGTACTTACCGCTATAAAGATTTTTTTTGAAAACTCGATGTGATAGAATAAAACGAGTGGTGGACCTCTAATCAGCGATCAGTAAAAAATTACAACATTTTAAATTCCAAAAATTATGTCAACCATCATGTTATAGTTACATAAAAGCATGAAACCGGAATCATGTAAGAAAACAAAGAGATATGAAAGCAGTCATCTTAAGGAGATAAAATGCGAGACGTATCTTATTTCCTGATGCTAGAACATAGGTGGTTCATACACTTATAAATTTTACCTTCTATTGTGTTGTTCAACACAAATAAATTTTCTTAAAAAAACGCTCCTTTGTGTTCGTTTTTGAAAAGAACAAAGTGGATCTAGTATAAAAATCTGAACACAATTTGACCAACCTCCTTAATCCAGCTTATCCCCCGTCATAATCTCGCATCTCTGTCGCTAATCTATTTCCACCAGTCCAATAAATCACAGGTAATGAGTGAACCGAAATTCTTTTATTCTTAACGTAGCTTAGCTAATCCACTTTACATAGCAGTGGTTTTTATTTGACAAGTTTCACTCTGGGGTGCGTTTAATTAAAAATATCAATAGAGTTAGTTGTCTTTGACAATTTTCTCTCAGTGTTAACCCATTGCACACGAAAATCTTGGAATGGGTCCAGATAAAATCGCCAAATGATATTTCTGCTGACCTTATCAGAGCGAAGTAAGCACGACCGGATGTAGCCAGGCAAATAAGGTGTAAGAAAGGTTACGACACGATAGGGGTAAGGTGTAGGGACAACTTCCATGGGCTGCTTAGCCCGAAACGCGAAAGTATTGGCAAACTGCTCGATAATACCAAGGTCTGCTTTATTACTCAACCTGAACCATTAGCGGGGTTAATACCATTGGTTTCCAGTCGTAAATTATTAATAACGCACACAGGACAGTTCATAACCAGACTCCCCATATATTTTAATCATTTGTAGCATAGAGCAATTCCTACTTTCTTTTGTTTTATAGGAATAAAAGTTTCGTGCGTGGAGCGAGCAGTTCATTCATATTTACGTTAATTAAGGAGAAAATTGTGTCACGTTTTTCCTCACGAGTCTTGCGAGGCCTTCAAGTTTGTATTAAAAAAAATATGTGCATCAATAGAGTCATATCTCGACTTCCCTATAAAAGTAGATGCTTATTTTAGCGTAGCGTGGGTTCTAAAAACGTGATTTTCCTATAAAAGGTACTTAAATTGTAAAGGAGGTTATTTAAAAGTTTGCTTCAAGAAATAATTGTCTATTATCAAAAATATGTTTCATCGACTTTTGATTCAAAACAAAGGATCGAAAACATAATTTGTATGAGTAAGTTTACTAACTACTGTGCCTGCATAAAGCACTTTTATGAGACATAAATGTAGGTAAAGTGTCGAATTTACAGTTTATTAATGGTTTGTTTGAGATTTTATTACAAATAAATTAGTCTCATCTTGCAGGAAAGGAATACGCAATTGTGGATTGAAATTTTATGCCAGAAAGATAAATTTTATGAGAAAAGTTGTGGCAATCTGAGATGAAAGGTTTTTATTACTATTTGGGATATACAGAAAGCTAACAATGTTTTGCTTCTCTGCCACTTTGAGATATTCAATGCGACAAGTTTATTGATTCTCTGGAGAATTCCTCGATTAAGTTCCACGTCGCTTAGTTTATGCCTTAACACTTAATAAGTAGGTATTTTTATTTGTCTCGGCATAATAAAAATAACATTTAAAAAGTAGTACAAAACCACTGATTTTCATTTCATGTGTGTTGCTATTGTTAGAATGAAAAAATAAAACCCATCTACTTCACTTTTTGCCAAACTTTTTCAACATCGGATTCGTTAAATGAACTATTGCAAAAGTTAGTTTTGAAATAAATTTTAGAGTCGATAAAAACAAAACTTTTAAAGCGCTGTCACAATAATACTAAACGCAATATTAATCTAAATTTTAAATAAATGTTACCATTTTTTCAACGCTGTGAAACAACTCAGTTTTTTATTTTTTATTTACATTTTCTTTTAAGTGATATGAGGACTAATAAAATGTACTTTTTTCATGGTTCGTAGTCTAATAACAGTGATAACATCAAGTTTATTTTTAAATAGGACAAAATCAAACTAATAAATATTTCAGTTCGCAAAGCGTCATTTTTTTGTGTAGAACAAAATGAACTCATTCAAATTTTAATAAAAATATTTTTATAAATTTAACAAGATTACAAAATATTTTTTTATTTAGTAAAACAAGTAAAAGTGTTATTTTCGTGTCAAGATAAACTGAGTTGTTAGGTTGTTAATAAAATCACTGCATTAAGGAACAAAGAGACTAAAACGTAAAAGCTAGGAATGTTTTACTAGCTAACAATAGCATATTGTATATAAAGTTATTGAACCTTGAAACTGGAGTACAGTGTGTGTCAGTAAAACATTGTTTCATTTTTAGTTATTAAATATAAGTTCCATTAAAACTTGGATTTTCACGTATTATGTTGACATTTATGATTAATTACACAAAATCATGATCACTAATTTATTAAGGCAAACCAAAGTGAGATAAGATTAATTAAATGATAATATTTGGTTACTCGGCTAATTATCTTGTCGATGTAAAAATTGTTTCTTTGTTTCTTCAAGAATTTAATCTCATGCAAAATAAAAGTCATATACTAAACAACGGTTTATTAATTAATTTGAGAAGTTGAATCCCTTCCGTAATCTATTTTTAGTGTCCAGGAACACATGTGGAAATCATCGATTTTAACATCCCCTAGTCGTGCAGGTCATATGGGCTGAACTTTGCGATTACCGAAGAGAAAACGTGTCGCATTAGCTATTCTTTCATTTATCATTTATGTAAAAACTTGAATTTATATAGGTTCATATCGAATCTGTCAACGAATATTGCGAGACCCTATACATCCCAAACTTATTGAATTTTTATTAGCCCACACCAATGACCGTGATGAAATATGACATGGAATAAAAGAAGCGAAAATGAAAACAAAAGAAGCGCACGATTTTTAGGATTCTTGTTTTACGATGACCGAAAACTTTATGTCATCCATCAAACATTCAACCTTATTTGCACTGTTCATATTACGGTGATTGATTAGGGAAACTCTGTTATAAATTAGGCACCTGAATAAAATATCACCAACATGACACAAAGTTCAATTATCGAAATTTAATTTTAAATCGTTTATTAAAAATGTTCAAATAAGGAAGGAAAAACAAAGTTAAAGCAACAATTTGGTTTAAATGTAAATTTTGTCAAACCCGAAGAATAATTTTCCTTAAGGATCAACCAAAACTTTATTGTATTAAAAATTAAATTTAAATCTTGACTTTGCAAATAAATAATTCATCAGGAATAATTAAAAGTGAATTTTTAATTTTTAATAATTTTGTGGTAATAGTAATGTACAACTTCAAGTTTTAGAAATAAATCGTTTTACTTCTTGGCTACAACAATTTAAACTTTCCACTTGCAACACAAATTCGGTGTAAAATTGAATTGCTTATCTGTCGTTGAATCTATTGGAAATGTTCGTAGATTGAATTAACAGACGTGCTCTAACTAAATTTAATAACTGATTCTTTCGTTATCTCTGGATCAGTTTATGGAAAATCGCTTGATGTTTTATTTCATTTGTCTGCAACTTTTTATTTTTGTTTATCACAAAGCTCTTAAAGTTAACAACAAAATATTTACAATCAATTCAAAGTCCCTTTCTTCAAACACTAACCAAAATTAAAACCCCAAAGAAATCAATCAACTTGTTGACCACTTCCGATGGAAAGAAAACAACTCTGCCCTTTGCGTAACCTGAAAGCTTTATTTTTTCTACAAATGGCAAATTCATATTTATCACAACCTGTCGAGTCAAGGAGAGCTTTAAAGCTCGAAGTATGGTAAGTTAATTAAAATATGTTTGGTCGCCGAGCTTTCTGTTTCTTGGTTTTGGAGAATTATTCTGGAAGGTCGTTAATTAATTTAGGTTTAATTGCTTCAGTCTGAGGTATAGGTTTACCGATATAAACCGTCGTAAAAATAGGTTAAGCCGAGGTAGATATTGGAAGTAAAGTAGCAAAGGAATACTTTTAGAGCACATTTTCTCGACTGGATGCAACAAAAGGAAGTCTACGAACGTGGAAAAATTTGAATATTGAGCGGATCAAAAAACTTTGCTCTCAATTGTGTTCTCTCTTAATTTAAAACTTGGAAATTCATCCAAAACAAATAATTGTTAAACTTTTGTAACTTTATCATGTTGTGACCTAGATTCAAAAAAAGTGACAAAACAATCAATATCAGGGGCTTATATAACATAACTGTGTAGAAACTTATCTCCCGGCTATTTAATCTCATCTGAAAATTGCACCAATTCCGTCCATTTAGCAATTTAACACCATTTTGCCTACATTAAGTTCTCCACTCCCAAGATAGTAGACCAAGACCGATGGGTTTATTAGGGTTATTCTGCGTTCTCGTGAAATTATTCATTTAAATAACAATATATTAATAAAGAGAAAATGTCTAAGGTGCAGAAAATCAGGTAACAAGTAAGTAAGTTGAGATGCTTTGTACATAATTAAATTTATTTTCTTTATTTCATTTTCAAAGGATTATTGTAATAAGAGCTATTTGCCTGTATTGTGCAATATTGTACATACTTCGCGGAGATTTCATCAAATCGCTTTAAAACTCACATTTTTCAATAGTTTTATTGAATTTTATTGACACGACTTTAAATTCAAGGACTTCAAATAATGATTTTTGTATTACCTATGCTTGTAAGAGTTGATATAACAAGTGTCTTATTATAAATTTGTATTCAGCAGTTTATGTAAATATCGACTTCAGGGCTTCCATCCTTTTAATGAGATGTGTACTTAAAGGTAGTTGATTTTTATTATAGTATTTTAAATTTAAAGGTTTGAAGAGTAATTTAAAAAATAATTAAGGCTAAAGGATTTTTCTTGTTCTCGTATGGTCGTGTTAATTTAATGTGAGACTTTCCGCTTCAAGAAATTGAAGCTTCAACACAACTTTAAATTGTATTTTTCGAGAAATTTAAAAGTTCACTCTGATCGATTTCGATGAACCACTCCAGATATTCAGCGAGTTTCCGGTCAGTTTCCGATTTCTAGAGTCACAGGTTAGATTTTGATACCTTTCCCAATTTAGGTTGAAATCGCTCTCTCACGAAATACCTCTTTGTTTCAGATTTTAGAGGCATGTCTCCTAACTATAAGCTGATTTACTTCAATGCTAGAGGGCGAGCCGAGCATATCCGTTTTATATTCGCTTATGCTGGTGTCGACTACGAGGACGAAAGGATCCCGAGAGAAAAATGGCCGGAAATCAAAAAAAGTAAGTAATGACATTTTCACATTTTATGCTTACAATTTCAGATTGTTGAATCGAATTTGCTTTTAACGAATTTAACGTCTGGAGGAAGCGCTGCATTTGAATTTAATTTGAAGGTGAAGTTTTATGTTCGATCAAACCGAAAGAACCGATATTAAAATGAAAGAAGTGTGGGGGATTAAGTTTTACAGACAGATGTTTTATTCAAGATTTTTTCAGGAAAGCAGATGTCAGAAATTGAAAGGAAATAATTACTCGCAACTCTTCATTCGTGTCAGTGAAAAAATTGATAAAACATGCTTAAATTAACCACATTTTCAGCTCAAAGCTCGTTTATCTCTTGCATTGTTGTTACAAAGGAAAATATATTGACAATTGACTTAACTTTGAGACATATTTCACATATTTTATTATTACCTATTTCATTAAATTTGTGACAAAGAATTTATTTTCAATTTTTTAAAGAATTTTATGTCGTTGTTTTTCCAATAATTATTAACACAGCTAAATTTTATTTTGTAGGAAAATAATTTAATTTTGAAATTAATCATTTTTCGATATGATGTCGAATTGTATTTATTTTGTGTATTGTGTTGGTTTGATTAATTTATTATTTTACTATTGAGTTAACTGATACTTTATTTATTAATCACAATTCAATGTTTGGCGCAAATGTTTGTAAATAAATTTAATTTACATATACAGGTGCGCCAGAACTCGCGCCCCAGAGAAAATTTTCAAGTAAGGTAAGATACCAGGAACACGGAAAAAATGTTTAGAAAATTGTATCTGTCAAAAAATTTTTACTTTTATTTTTTGACATTTAAACCCTCATAACTTCGAAATTTTTATATCCCATATTCCTGGGATCTTACCTTATACGACATTTTTCTCTGGGGCGCGAGTTCTGGCGCAGCCTGTATATGACTACGAGATTTGTTAAAGTTTAGCCATTAATTACAATTTGTCTCAATCGATTCCATTGTCAAGAAACCATTAAATCATTCATTTAGATTTATTAGTAATTAACAACAGTTAGTGTCTCATTGAGATCTTTTGACAGCTTGAGATTGATCAAATATAAAAATTCTCTTAGGCATGAATGCGAGAATTTATTTGCACAGCCTTGATAATATTAAAAAAGCTCCGGTTATGACGCGAAAGCTCACTCGCAGGAATTTTATTTGAGTTTACGCACCTCGATTGCGTGAATTAATTTGGTGCATTCTGCTTGTTTCAGGAACGCCGTTTGGAATGCTTCCAGTCCTTGAAATAGATGGAAAAGCTGTGGCTCAGAGCAATGCGGTGGCAAGATATCTAGCAAGACAATATGGATTAGCAGGACGAAATGAATGGGAAGCTTTGCAATGTGACGTCTTGGTTGACACTCTAGGAGATCTCAAACAGGGTATTTATCATTTCTGAGATAACCAAAAGAATATTAATCACTCGGTTGAGCGGTTAAAAATTTAATCGCCAATTTGAAAGTTTTAAAGCCTCTCTTGGGTATGAAACTTTGTAATGTGGACAGGGATGATTGCTTTTTTTGGCGGTCCTTTCACTCGATTAATTTAAAGTTTTTAAAAAGTATTTCGACTTGAAATTTTAAATTTAAACGTAACTAAATTAATTAGTGCTAGGAACGGGAGTGTTTTTGTGCAAATGGTGATTTACTTCAACTAGAAACTATCCGACTATGTAATTCTAGCTTTAATTAAAACTTATTTATTTTGCCACTTGTTATGCTACATTTTAATTGCGTCTAACTTCACTTATTGTAGCAAAAGCAAAAAGTTGGGATATTGGCAAAAATCTTAGAAATATTAAAGTTTTTAAGGATTAAATTGTTTAATAAAAGGATTTTTCTCTTTGCAACACCCATACGGGGCAAACTTACTTCTCTCAAAGTTGTGGTTGTAATCGTTGAAAGTCGGATTAACCGAATGGGATATATGAAGCCATAAATAAGTTTCATTTTCTTAAATGTGGCTGTTATCACCTTTTAGGCTTTGCTAACTGTGAGAAGATAAATTTTACAGAAGTATAGAGTATTCCGTTTTATTTTGCTTTTAACTAGATAAAGCTATGATTGAATTTTAATTTTTTAGGCTTTGTCAGATGAAATTTGATATTATTAAGTGATATAACTATATTTTATATTCATGCTAACGTTTTTAAGATAAAAGTATTTTACAATAAGGTAGAAAAGGTGTGAATGGCTTTTTACGATAAGTAATGACCTTGAGCTGCTTTAAAAAATAATGTAAGGCGTAATTAATGGTTCTAATGATAGTATTGTTAAAGTTAAAAGCTTGTCAAACTGCTGAAATACAAATGTCAAACAATAACTCGAAAGCTCTTCATTTACTGTTATTAAAGGGAATGACTCAATTCGCACATTAATTTAACAATATAAAACTTTTTTAGTTCTTGCACAATTTCGAATGGAACAAGACCCGATAAAGAAGGAAGAAAAGAAAGCCCGTTTGATGAAGGAAACAATACCTTTTTATTTATCCAAATTCGAGAAAATGCTTTCGGAAAATAATGGATTTTCAGTAGGATCTGAGGTAAGTGTTTACAAAAAGGACGCTCACCAACCAGATGACAGGTTAAATTTCCCGCTACGGTTGATATTTTTCGAAATAGATAGATAGATTTCAAATAAATGAAATGATTGATTGACTCAGGGTCTGTATAGAATCGTGTCTTCTTTTGCGAGATTTCAGCGGAAATTTGTACAGACAAAGGTGAAATGAAATATCAGTCGTATTAAATATTTTAAAAGCACGTCTTCTCACATCGATTTTATTTTACGTTTTTTCAGATAACCTGGTGCGATTTTGTATTCGCCGTATCCCTCGAAAACTTCGAACACATCTTTGGCAAGGCCGCTTTGGATCAGTATCCGGCTCTGAAAGCTCTAAAAATAAAAGTCTATAACATTCCTAGTATAAACGCATGGGTGTCGAAACGACCCGCCACCGAATCATAAACTGTTTTCACACATTTGTACATATTTCAGTTGGGGACTTTGTAATTGGACGAGCAATTACATTCCGGCCTTAATCAGTTTTGTTCAACTTTTGGTTTCGACGGGAAAGCATTTTCTACAAACATATCACCAGATATTCCAAAATAAGTTTTTAGAAGAGCGAACGAGTTCACAAAATGTATCTAGTTGTAAGATTAAGTATGTGTTCAAAATCTCAAATTTACAAACGAGTTGTCTATCAGTGTGTACAATGTAAACATGGTATACTGCTATAAAATACAATAACAAAACTTGTACATAGAATCAAAAATTTTAGAGGATTATTTTTTAGGAACTTTTAGAAAAGCACGCTACTTGTTATATTTTTATATTATATTTATATTTGTAAAAATATAAAAAACGCCATTTTATTTTATTTAGTAGAATCACCAAATCAATGTAGGTATATGTAATGGCTCATGTAAAAACGCTTTATATTGCTGTTCGATAGATTTAGTAATTGTTGAATTATTTAATAGGTGTTGTTAATTACAATGGGTTTATTTTAGTTTTTTCATTACGTATGTAATATTTGTTATTTCATAGAAATGTCTAGTTGTTTAATAAAAACCTCAAAATGAAACGTTCTATTTATCTTTAATGCTTTTACAGCATTTACCAGTGCTCTTTCAGAGTCAAAATAAATTTAGCTCATCCATTCAAATAAATTTGACGCTGATGTTTGTTACTTTAGAGGCTTTGAAAGTAAACAGCATAAAGCTCTACTTTCCATACTTAAAAAGTAATAAGTAATGCAAAGTTTGTTGCTAGAGACGTAACAATAGAACAGTATTTGGACCATGGTATTTGGCATATGTAATATCTACAAACCACTAAGATTGGAAACACGAAAAAATTGTTGAAGTACGCTTAAAATTAAGCAAAATTACATTAAAAGCAACAAAAAACCTTTGAAAATCGACCAAAAGGAGGAAATGAACCAACCAAAAAATGCCCGAAATCCTTTAAGAATCCCTCCCTAATCCTTATGCACTCCAAATGTACTTAAATTAATTCTACAAGTATTACCAACCCCAAAGCAAAATTCCTTAATTTTCAATTATTTTTAAATTTTTAACTACAAGTAATACTAATTACTTAATTAGTAATTATTCAACAGTAATATTTCAAGTGCATAAAAATAGCCTATAGAATTTTGAAGTTTTCTTCAGAATGTTTTGTTTAGAAATATATCGAGTCAATTTGGCACAGTGCGTAGGGGGAGGGATTTTGCGTGGAAAATTGACGAGAAATATTTCTTCTTAGCAAAACGTTTTGACAAAAAACGTCAAAATTTTATCAGGCTATTTTTAAACACGCGGGATGTTTGGCATAATTATTTCCTGAACAATTAACAAAGAAATTACAGAAATTCAGAAGCAATTGAATTTTGACACATTTTTAATCGCGGCAAAATTTTTCCATTTGCAAATAATCGCTGTAAAATGGGCAGAAATCATAGTATTTATAATTTTTTGATTGTATGAAGGAAATAATCGTTATTAATGACAACCGTGGAAATAATCTCGAGATACAAAGTGATCCACAATGACTGAATCCTGAGCCTAATTTTTAAAACTTACGATTAGAGTACGCTTTCGATTACGAACAATTCAACAATCTTGTAGGGTTGTACGTCAAGTATTGGTCATGAAAAACCGTATCCGGTTGCAGTGTTTCAAATTATTAACAAAAACACTTTCAAATGTGTTGCCAACAGACTCAGTCTTTCTGGATCACTTCGTATTTACGTAATCTAATTTATAATCACTTATTTTTAATTCATTTAAATAGAACTTAATTTTACTTCATAGTATTATTAAAACGCGAGTTGCAGAAGGCATCTATTTAAGCAAGAAGCTTAAATTTCAAGACGAGCTTCGTAGCGGCGAGTTGAAAAACATTAATCGTTTGCTTCAATGATCTTCTGTAAGGGGTTTTTTATACTATTTGTTTTTATTTTGCGCTTAAATGGAGTTTTAAAAGAAAAAAATTAATTTGGGAAATTTTGCGGCGGTGACACGCTGACACGTAGCAGTATTATCCATGAAAGCGTTAAAAATTCAACTCAAATTGATTTTTTCAATTACGCTACCAGCAATTCGGGAAATTACTAAGAATATTGAAAACAATTTATTTCCAATGACATTAGGATGAACATTAAAAATATTAAAACACACTAGGTTGTTAACAATGTTAAAGCACTCTGAGAAGCTGTTAACTTATCCAAACGAGTTTGTTAATGCGTTGACAAAAAATATTTTTAGTGACTTGTTTTCATAAACACTATTCATAAACATTTAGACATATTTGTTTGCCTAGGAAACTAACATATGAAATTTTAATAATGTCAATATGTATAATTATACAAATTCCCGAAGCGCTTTTACTTCTACATATCAACAAAAGCTTTCATTTTGAAAATGTTAACACAAGAAGACGATATTTTAACCTCGTTAGTTCCTCTTTTTGTCGTGCTACGGCCAATTGGATTTGTTTTATTTTCTCCACGAAAACTCAAAAACAGTGATAAAATCAATTATTTTAGTGTTTTCAATTTGTTAATGCTTGCACTTCATTTATTTTTTCTCTTATACGGCTTCAAAAATATCTTGGGTGCATTTATTAGAGCTCCTGATACTTTTCAGAAAGTATACATTTTGGTTTTCATTGCAAATTCATTTGCTCTAATGGGAATAAACTTAATTTGGGACAAATTTCAAAATGGTAAATTTTTAGATCTATTGAGACATTTCTACAACATGGACTTGAAATTACGCGAAAATGATATTTTCTTGGATTACAAAAAACTTCAAAAATATTCAGCTGTGGTTCTTTTTTCCGAATGGATCGCTTACACTTGTTTTAACATAATAGATACATTGATGTTTTTTCTAAAAATTGGAAGCAAATTAGAAACAATTCTTCTAGACTTTATTTTTTACCAAGGTTTGCACACAATGCAAGTCACAATGACTGCCAAATGTTTCACGTTATTTCTCATTATTGAAAATGTTTTTGATCACTTGAATTCAGAACTGAAAACAACGAAAACAACAAAACAACTTATAGAAAAAATCAGAAATTTATATCACCATACATACGAATTAACAATTCGTGTAAACAAAGTGATTGCTTTGCATTTAATTGTGCCCCTTTGTATCACTTTTGTGATGGTGGTTTATCACATTTATTATCAAATTAAGGAAAGCAGTCTAGAAAATTCAGCCATGGTGGTTTGGTTAAGTACAATGTTTTTAAAAATTGTTTTAGTGATTGTGCAAATCCATCGGACCACGTCTGCAGTATTCATTTTTCTCTTATTACAATGATAAAAATCTATCTTTGCAATTTTAGGCTAAAAATATCAGAAAATCATTGGCCAAATTAGCGTTAAACCGAAATAAAGCGGTTAGGAGAGAAGTAATAGGTTTTAAACAATCTAACAAATTTTTAATATTTCCTTACAGATAAATATATTTTTTCTTCAGTTGTTGCACGAAGAAGTCAATATCACCGGTGCCAGTTTTTTCAGTATTGATATGGCCCTAATTGGAGGCGTAAATAATAGTTTACAAATGAAAATAAATTTTTCTTACCATATTTTTTTAGTATTTTGGTAAAGGCTTACAATATCTGATTATTTTGCAGCAAAGTGGTAATTAGTAAAAGCTATTTAAATATTTAGCCAACAAAAGTACGACACAGTTTTTAATATTTGGAAGTGGAAATGCATGTAAATTTAAAATTTTGATTAACCTACCAAGTGGCTTATATTAAATTAATTCAACCTTCGTTTCAAATGTTTCATTCTTGCGTTATTGGACTAATAGTTATTGATGCATTTATAAGTTTATATTAGTTAGTACAGCTTAATTGCTCTATGCTATATTAATAGCTATACTTATACTTTTCTTTTAATTAAATGACTTATAACGGTGTTTTCTTTATTTCAATCATTACTATCACAGTGGTAAAAAAAAAACTTTTTTTTGATAAACATTTTATTAGGAACTTTAGTATTATATTCCAACTTACAAACATAAAAAATCGTATTTTATGTTTTAAAATAAAATTTAAAGCAATAAGAATTATAAAGGCACTTTAAAAGATACTAGCTGTAATTTAAAATAACATTTTTTATATAAAAACAATTAAAACACATAACTATCTACATGGATTATATACAGTACATTTAAAAAATAATACCACAGACAAACAGATGGTCAACCATCTACAGTTGTACGCACACCACGTATGCTTATCACGCAGAAAATACTGAATCATCAATCTCAAGCGATTTGGTTTTCAGGAATACAAATTGATTTTCTTGAACGAATCGAGGACCTGTTGATCATACTCGATCTGATCTCCCCTCTGAAAGACGCTCGCATTGATGACCTCCTCGATGACGATCTCCTAAACTTGCTTGCTTTTTCATCGTCAACATTCCTGAAAAAAAAATTCAGTCACACTCAGTCTTAGAAAAGCAATAACGCACTTTTTAATGCATGGAAAGTCCCAAATCTTCTGCCCCATGCCAAAGTTTTCACCATCCTGCAGTGTTTGTGGCAACTCTTGATCCAAAGTTTCCGGTAAAAAGAGCGCTAAAATTCCTCCAACAATACCCAAAACCCCCAAAATCAAAAGTGGCAAATCCACTGAAATATTTGCCAAGTAGACCACGAAAGGTGCCAGTATGCTAGCAACGTATCCCATTATGTGTATTAGGGCTACTCCTTGAGCCCTCACAACAGTTGGTAGCAACTCAGCGGCGTATTGAAGACCGATATTGTAGGAAATATTAACTGCAAATCGTCCCATGATTGCTAGCGCGGCTGAGGGAACCCCATATGGCACTGTTGTTGCAAGAAGACTAAAAATACCGCTAAGAACCATGGACCCACAAGCTAACCATCGCCTGCCCCAGACATCCAGCACCAAAGTCAGAAACGTGTCGGCTGGAAATTCGGTCGCACTGGCGATGGTAAAAGTCAAGAAAATGTCCAAGCCCAGCGAGCCCACGTTACGCACATGACCATCAAATACCAAGGAAATGGCCATCCACATGACGATCAATAAAAGAGTGATTTTTCTCAAACGAGGCGTTTTGAATAAGTCGAAGACTGTGTAGGCTTTGTCCATTTCTTCCTCTTTTTGGGTTTTCAAACAGCTGGCCTAGTGATTTTTCTTTAGTCTCAAATTTATTTGTTGTTTTATTAAACTTACTTTGAATTTATTATATGTTTCTTCTTCGACTTTGGTTTTATTAATTCTTTGGAATTTTCGTAGGATGCCAATGGCTTTGTCAAATTTGCCTTGAGACACTAGCCATCTGAAATAGTGTTATTTGTACTTTTAAGGAAAGTAGGTCTGATTTAATTTCAAATTTGTCAATTAAATAATCTAGAAACTCTTTAATGCGCGCAATTAACCCGATGTTATTCAATGAATTATCTTAGTGATTCTAATTGTGTCAACTTTAAAATTCTAATTAAAAACAACAATGTTGCAAGAAATTTAAAACAACATAAGCAGATTTGTCCTTTCTTAATTACCAATTCAAAATTTATACATAAATAAGACACAGATTGGTCAGGAAATGTAGTAGTTTTGGCTATTTTAATTTACGTTTTCTAAAAAATTGTAATTTTTTTCAAATATTCAAGGTACTCCACATTCAAAAATGATTAATTAAAGAACTAAATGTGATAAAAAATAAAAGTAAACAATATTAACAGAATGTATAATTTTTTAACAAATTAAATTGTTAAATTCCAATTAAATAATTAATGCTTCATGTTGTATAAAACTGTATTTCAATGATTAAATAATATTAATTAATGGTTTAATCTTTTGTTTGATGACACAGCAAGAATAAATAAATATCTGGTGTGAAACAAGAAGATTCCGTTTCAAAAAATAAGCAAATGCAATTATACAACAAACATAAAAACATTTAGGTATGATAAATATATTGTAAATTTCATCACTCTTGTTAATGCACCATGAAATTTGGTAAGTACTCAAGTTCCCAGCATGCAAATTTTGGTTGATTACAATCAACTTTAAAAAAATTACGAGTAAAAATAATGAAAAAATTGATCAAATTGCAGGAAATTCAGTAATTTACTAAGTATACTGAAAAATTACCTTGCAGATTCCGGTACCAACCATGGCGTGATTATGGCCAACGCCAGAGGGGCCGAAGTGACATAACACAGCATTTTCCAATCGGCTAAATAATAAGCAATCCAAGGCAAAATCGAAGCTGCGAACGTGAAGAAAATTGCAATCGACATGTTGGCTACGAAGGTTCTCCATTTCGGGCCCACGTACTCTAATACTGAAAGATAAATAGATATAATTAATTGATAAATAATATAATTATAATTAATTACGGTTAATTCTTATCAATCAATCCACATTCCCGGCAATATGAAGGATTTTTAATACGACCCGCATGTGCGAAGATTTATTACCGTTAAATTATTCAAGGATTTTCAGACATTTAAGCGCGAAGTTCGCGTAATTTGTAAGCGTATTCGCACATTTGTGCTAACGAGGGGGTGGATTAAAAAAAGCGTAAAAAAATCAGAATAAATTTTTATTGTGTACTAAAACTAAAACTCAAATTTTTGACGATAAAATTTGTCAGAATCTTCCATTCTTAAAAATCCATAGTACATAAAAAGTGAATTACAAAAAAATAAAGAACGTAATTCTATCTCATTAAGTGAAGAACTCATTGTTTTATTATTTGTTATGCCAATCTATGTCAAGGCCAAAACTTTTTTTTAATAACAGTTTATTAATGTAAATGTTTATTCGGATTAATTAAATATTTACATGCATATGTCTATTGATTAAAATTTAAAATTAGCTTCTTTTAAAATCAATCACTCTAACATACGGATATTATTTTTCAAATACTGACCACTAAATTTAAAAATTTTACATAAATTTGGATAAATGTGTGGAAGGCCAAAGTAATTCTCCATACAACTTCCGTATTTACAAAATTATATTTTTGTGAAATTTGCTTGTAATTGTAATGACATTGAGCAAGTCACATTTTCTTATCGATTGTCAAACACAATAAGTCCCTAACAATCTCTGCCACGGCACAAGCTCCCTTAATTCTGTTTACATTCACTTAATCACTACTTCTATCCTTCCACTTAATTGACGGTATAATTAATTTGAAAAATGATCTATCCTTAGGCTGATTCATCTTGTCAAATTTGTGGTGCGTAAAACGTGTCCTTTTCTGCTTAAAAATGGCCTTTAATCCGTAGCATTAAGGGCCCTTGCAATTAATTTAATCCTTCCAAGGTGTTTGTCATATGTTCACCAGGTAATTAACTTTGGCTTTTAATTTCCTTAATCAGGTCGGAACCAGGAATAATTAATTACTTAGAATCTCGAGCACAAGGACATGGCACCTAGTCCGAATTCGCCGCGCTACAATTGATAAACGTACGAATTTTGAAAATTTGAGCCAAACTTGCGGTTTCAAATCTGGCCACTGACCATGTAATTCCCATGAATGATTCTGATTACAATGGCCAATTTTATGGTTAATGGTTCGAACGGATTTTTTTCGAACCTAATCTAATTAGGACTTTTTCAATTAATTACTGATCTAATCTGATTATTTGCAAGTCATTAAAAGAAAAACATTTGGGTTCGTCTGCGACGTTTCAACTTACCTAGAATATACATCATTGTGAAGCAATTATCGAACGCCATCCCGACCAAAAACCTGCATAAACAGAAAGTCCAAAAGGCGCTACAGAAAGCTGTAGCGATTCCACCGACGAAACCTACAAGGTTTGTCCCCACAAGAGCAGGAATTCGGCCGAATCGATCAGCGATCCAGCCAAAAACCAGGCCGCCGAGGATGGCTCCGCAGAAGAAAATGGACTGGGCGGTGTGAGGTAAAGCCGAGTTTTCGCAAACCCAGTTTTGCTGAAAAATTAGTTTCACACAATAAACAACAAAAAAGGAGAAATTTATTTTAATGAAAATTCTAGACCCTCTCAGGAGACGCTATTAATTTCCAGACGCTAGTGAGCTTATGCACAAAGCCATGTTACTCAAGTTAGGTGTTTATGAAAAGAAATGGCTAGGCCGAAATTATAACTTCACGCTGCAGTGAGTCTCATAATGAATGTGTGATATTTTATCTTCTAAAAAGAAATTCATTTTAGTGGGTTTCCTTAATTCTCAAGTAACGCAGGAAACGTTGCTTAAATTTTATTTAAATACAATAAAAATATAATACAATATAACACAATTTAAATTAAATTAAAGTTACTACTTGCTATCAAAAAATTAAAAAACTTAAAAATGTATTTTAGAATGTTTGCCTTACCAGTAAATTTATTTTCAATGTTTAAATAGGAGTATAATTTTCTAATTAGCATTAAGGGTTATTAGATTCTTGATTACTTTTCTTTCGATTAATTTAAAAGAACCATAAAAAAAAGTAATGTAGACAATAATACATAATAGATTTACGTGAAAAGTTTAGAAAAGTCAAATTAAGCTAAAAGAGTATGCTTCGAACAAAATAATAACTTGAAAACCATACGATTTTAGTTTTTATTGTTACAAATTGAAATAGGTGATCAAATATTCAGTTTTAAGACCAAAGTTTCCCATGGATTTGTATCAAAAATTACTTTGTAAGAGCTACAACCACTGAAAAAAGTTTGTTTTAATGGGTATTTCCAATATTTCAGAGTGGATAAAATTACAAAATTTGGTACAGCTGATAATCTTTATCTACCTAAACGAACTCAAATGTCAAAATTTTTAATCAGCGGCATCCTAAACTAGAGGGGAAAAATAAAAAACGGTAAGTTTTATCGAAACAACGCAAGAGACTTCTTTTTTATGAAAAACTATGGAATTTAGAATTTTGTGGCCGAAAGTGGCAAGAAACTACAGCCAAAATAGTTAGAGTAGTTTTTACCCAATACCCCCCCAGTTTAGGACGCCCCTGATTAAAAATTTTGACATTTTTATATTCAGTATATCTAGTTTATAATGTTTCTATCTAATTGTTATTAGAATCAATTAACTAATTAATTATTATTAGAATATACAAGTTATTGTATTGTAACTCATTTATTTACTATTTAAAATGTTATTAAAAAATATTTATAATATACAATTTTCATATAATTTCGAAGTAAAAAACAATCGAAAATTATTTTCACAAAGCATTCCTTCAATTTTTAATAAAACTTTTAGTCTAGGTCTTAAACATTTTATGTCAACATTGCCTGAATACCTTACACATTTTATAGCTAAGGCAAATTGCATAGAAATATTGACACAACAAAATTGAAACTTTCCAAGAACAGATGGTTTAAGTCATCTACATGCATATACTAGTTTGAATTTATTACGGCAGTAAAATGAAACATGGCGAAATTCATAATATTCCATACAAAATAAGAAATAATTGAAATCACTTGCAAGCAAAAACACCACTTTATTTTTATGAAAAATTCTCGTAATTGCCACTTAGTGTAATAAAAACCATCGATTTGCTAAAACGAATTTCTCAGAAGTAAAACATTTCAAGAAAACCGGACTGACATTTTTTGATTACTAATCCACATTTCAATGCGATTCCGCCTCTCTTTATCATTCTATAAATGGAAAATAATATAAATTACACAATTAAAGCGTTGCAAATTACTCAAACATAATTAACAGGTAGCTAATAGTCGTTTAGTTTATATACAAGATAAAAATATCGCAAAATGGAATGAAATTCCGAATAGGAAGCGTAGTTGCAATACATTTTCACACTATGTAACTTTTTGCAGATCTGGTGTAATCAACTGGCATTTCAATGTCATTTCGATGAAATATCGCTGTGGCAAAGTGTATAAATCGCGATTAGATAAATAAAGCGTTCTAAATATAAAAATAAATAAATGTTTTTTTTCTATTTATAACACTTGTGAAGCTTTTTCTTCGTTGCGTGAGTCAAAGCTCGCGACCTCAAAAGCTCTAACTTTTCCCGCAGGATTTTGCATTTCTGAAAAATTTTCTTACCTCTGTAGCGATCGACGAATAGGGAACTTCGGTGTAATTATATTCCCAGCCATTTTTGCAGGAAGTTGTAGGCCAGGACGTGTTAACTGGAATTTTATTTCTCACCACTTCCGTAAAATTCACGTCATACATTTGGCATTTTTCCAGCGAGCCATCGGCCCCTTGAGGAATTGCTAGAGCTATCCTGCAATGAAAAATCCCGATTGCATAACATCGCGATTAGATAATGGTGTTACTAAGAATTGTTGCTTTATCGACCGTAAAAACCATTCCTGCTGGTCACTGAGATAGCAGATGCACAAAGGTTTACCGATGACAATGTGAAATGATTTGCGGTAACCTTAACCACCATCAAACTGTGTCTTTATTAGTTTTCGTTGAGTAACTATTGCGAATTAAGACTACTGTAGAATTCAAATTCAAGGAAAACTCCATCATTAATAAATTACCCAACAATGCAGTGGCTATCGAGATAAAAAAGATACTGTGCACTTGTTGCAATTAAAAATTGTATTTTACATGAAAGATTTTCACTCATAAACATCAAGCGTCTGTCTCTCATTGACAACTAATTAATTAGTACGGTAATTATTTTATTAGCGGTGATTATTGAAATGTTACAACACTTAATGTGAGAGTTGTATTGTTGGATTTAAATATAAGCCAAATTAATCGTGTCAAGTCCAAGAACTTGTAACTGATGCTCTTTCATCCATTTCTCAAAAATTCTTCTAATTACATAGTTTATTTTCTTTTTGTATGATAATTTTTTGGAGAAATATCTTTTACAAAAATGTGATGATTTATAAAAAATTGAAAAATGTTTCTGTGGTCGGACGAAGTCAACAACCGATCTTATAATAGTTGTCGGCATTGACATTACTACACTATTATGTGTAAGCAATACCATTACTGTTCATTTGCTGGTAATAGTCATAACATCTTTAAAACAGCCTCGTGATTTAGTAAAGGTGTTGTAATCGTTCTCCTTTCATTATTTATTTAATTTATAAGTCTGCTATTGTATTAAAACAAACTCTTTGTTCTTCAGGAAGCTATTTAATACATAGTTGGAAAATACTTTACCACAAAATTGAATATTTTTGAAAAACTACGTATCTCAGAAGGTACACAAACCGCAAAGAGTACAATGTTTAAAAGTAATTATTTAATAAATATGTGAATGTCACATGATTTTAGACATGCCTCAAGTTGCATTTGTATACAAAGTACACTACAATATTGCAAAATCTTTGTACAAAAGCTTTATAGTATTTTACAAGGCTTTAACAGCTAGCATACTAAAATAAAAAATTTGAAACACGCAAAACCAATTATTCTGATAGATAAAACAACGTAGAAACGTTTTAGAAATTTAAAATTTATTTGAGGCACAATTAGAAAAAAGTAAGTGAGTTGTAGTTTGTAACAAACGGTCGAAAGCACTTTAATCCTCGTTATTTAGTAAACAATATCTCAAACTAACACTTTACTAAGATTGTTGTACTAAGTTTACCAGGGCTTAGAAATTAATTAGGTTAAAGCTAAGCAAAAGTAATTAACTAGTATTCTAGAAAGTTCAGTTTTTTGTGTCTTAACTTAAATTGTCTATACTAAAATTTAATTTATCTCTTATTTATCTTCGTAACTTGAAGAAATTTAGGACGTAGCAAATACGTCTTCCTTTTCACTTCATTAAAGTCTTAACTCTTTGACAGTCTTTTATCCCATCGCGAGCTTATGTTGCCTTGTTTGGATTACCAGTAAAAAAACTGTGTGAACTCATTTTAGTAACAAAATTTCAACAATTCATTAACTTACAGGATTATTTTAACTTGATTAATTTTTAAAGTCGGATTTTTATTGTGTCAGTGAATTACATCAACCATTCATAATTTACGCGACTTGGTAAATTATACTTAGTTATTTACTATTAGCACTTATTTACTTGTAATTCTATATCCTCACGTAATTGATATTTTTTTTTTGATGGATGGTCATTAACCATGAAAAACCCCAACATCTCTTAAAAGCTTTTTTCACATTTATTAATAATATATCTGATAATAAAAAAGGTTTTTAATGAAAATAGACAGGAACTCATAATGACCAGTCTAGAACAAAAACAATCCCATCCATTTTTGTTCAATACCAAATTCATGGTCAAAAAGCAAGTTCATGGAATTGTCTAAATAAGATTAGAGTTAAAGGTCGAATAATTAATATTGTACTCTCAAGAATTGTAGTTTTTTTTTATATATTTTTAGTCATTAACGTGACTTAAATATTAAATATTATACAACTGTTGTACGTTTCCTTGTTTTTTCTGAATGAATGAGTAAATTTCAACTTACTGTTTTTAATTGTTTAAAACAATCTATGATTATGTGTTTAAGTTGTAGGTCAAAGTCTGTAAAAAGTTTTATTTGGGATTTTTTAGGTCATAAAAATTTGGCAGCAAAGTAGAATCTAGGCTACCGTTTTTGAGCAAGGCTCAAATTTGCTACAAACGTGTTTTATTGATTTAGTTTAAAGCATTCACGTCAAAGAAAGTTGCGTAATTTGCTACACACATTTTTAGTCCAAGTGCCAAGGCAATCTCACCGTTTAGTGCAGATAATCGATTTCAAATCGTGCATATACATATACAATGAGACCGAAATTATTTTTAACCTGTTTACTCACCAATACAGATGGTTTCCATGCAATTTGCTCAAATATTTAAATTAGATGGGGAAGCAAAGAAAATATAATTTAGATAACAATGTTTGGGTAAAAAAATAAGTGTGTCACTCTAACACCGATTATTTTTTTTTCCTAAAAACTCAAATATTAACCTTTAAAAGCCCACAATTTTTTGCCACCCGATTTAAGTAAATCGTTACACACGTCTTTCTACTTTATTTAACCACGAATTAAACTCTTTGTTGCTCAATTTTGCATGACATTTTCTTTCAATAATACAGCACAGTACCTACTTTATTTTTTTATATTCAAATAACCTTTATTACACTAATAACTTTCTACACGACTGAACCATATCCTGTATGGTTACTGTAACTTTTATATCTCACTGGTTAAGAGGATGTTTATAGTCCTTATTAATTATTCTTACCTCGATTCCCAGTGTAACTAGAGCATAGCGGCGACTTATTTAAACGGTCTTGATTCTTGAGCATTTTTTTACAAGAATTGTGGGTGGATAAAACCTTTATTTATAACATTTTAGTTAAATTCAACCATGGTTAAGCACGATTTGTACTTGGAAAATTAATTAATTAGGCACATAATTTATTCGCATAAAAGACCTGAATGTAGTTATTAGTAGGCATGAAAAATTTTGTTTGCAAATGCCCACGATATTTGTATATGGCTTGCTTGCTTTTGACGGGTATAAAACTAATAAAACAAAAACAAAATATGGTCATTAGAATTTTTAAAAATAGATAATTGTAGATATACACGATTGCACATAAATATGGAACAAAAAAATAATACAAATGACGAACAAAAATAAAAAAACAAAAGGCATACCTAGCACTTATCAGAACATACACATAATATATTATGTACGTAAGATGATACTCATATGCGAAAGTCAAATATACTTGACATACCCGTTGACCTGGAATTTTCCTGTGGTAAGTTAGGTAGAAATCGCAATGAAATAGTATTTTAATATTAAACTGAGTCAATAATATTAAATAATTACTCTTAAAACTTTGTTGGTGATTACTTATGGTAATAATATAATTATAATTTTAACCAAATTTTTCTGAGAAATAAATCACATAACAATAAGTTTTTTACTTTGTTTGTGTAGCTGAAAAAACATAAAAAGAATCAGCAAGATGCACTTTGTATCCAAGAATTAATTTCTTGAATGTTCATTACTATAGAAATTATAAACTTTTTATCTCTTTCATTTCTAATAATAGATTGCTATAAAGAGA